GAGAACCCACTGTGGGCCAAGCCCTGTGCCAGGCACTGGAGTGGAGAGGCAACTTAGGGCCCTCATGGACTTCATGGTCTTTGAGAGACACAGACACGTAGAAAGAAGCTAACTATGGTATGGAAAGTGCTAGAGGGAGGCAGGGGGAGCTGGGATGCCAGGGCTGGGCTGGGGAGTCAGGAAAGCTCCCGGGCAGGGACCTCTGAGCAGAGTCCCAAGGAAGGGCTCTCAGTGCTCAGATGGGCCTGAGCTCCAAGATGCACTCGGGTTTTGTGGGTTTGCTCCCTGGCGGTTGGCCTGAAAAAATTAGCTGGAAAAGCACCTGAAAGCAGAGAGCATCCAAGCCCGTGAGCCCCTGCAGGATGAGGGTCATCGGGCCCTGAGCGTGGGTGGGTGGCAGCTGCAGGGAGGAGGGGACACCGAGGGCCTGGGGCCTGGGCCCAGTGAGACAGCCCTGCCCCCTGACCAGTGGAGACACCAGTTCTGCATGTGCATCTGAATCTGGGGAGAATGGACACCTTGTGCGTCGGCTCATGGGCACACCCGGGAGCCCAGGCTCAGGCCCACACACCCCAGCCCCCCTCTTACTCCTTCACCCCCATTCCCAGGCCTACCAGACCCACCTTCCCATTCCCATCCCAGCCCGGCCCCAGGGCCCTTAATATTTGCAAAGGAGCAGGGACCCGATCAAGTCCACCGACGGTTTGTGGCAGCCTCTCTGGGAGGCTGAGGCAGAAGGAGGGGCTCCCAGAGAAGACTCTGGAGGACCCCCGCCCCCAGGCGTCCAGCGGATGCTCAGCTCTTAGAACCACCAAGAAGGCTGCGGTGGGATTAGCTACAGAAGAGCCACAGCTCTCCAGCAGGCGGGGTGTAGGCACATGCGTGTGTGTGTGTGTGTGTGTGTGTGTGTGTGTGTGTGCACGCGCATGCGCGCACATACGTGTGGGCTGCACGTGGCTGTGTGTAGGAGTGTTTTGCTATCTGTACCCTGCCTGTATGCCTTCATGGACAGTCACCATGAGGAGTGGTGTATGGACACACACTGGGCTCTCCCAAGTGCCAAAAGGACCTGGCCATCTTGGAGCCACCTCCCTCCTACCTCATTCATTGCAGAAAGGTGACAGATAATCCGTTCAGGGGTGCGGCTCTGCAGGAAACTGGAGAAGGGCACCGATGTCACCTGCTTGCCGTCCCCGATCCCTTGCAGCAGGAGGCTCTCTGACTCTTTGTGAACGGAGACATACGTGCGGAGGCAGAGGGCAGCGCCAGGCATCAGCGGGTGGCATCCCGTGCCAGGTACGCAGGTGGCATCTGGTGGTCACTCCCCGCCCCGGCACCCTACACGGTGACATGGGTGCGGATAACGAGTGAGACTCCGGTCTCCAGACACGTGTGTCCTCTTTCAGTCCCGCGAGCGGGACGGACTCTGCCGTCTGAGTCTTTGCTCATGATCTTCACCCGGTCCAGTCCTGCTTGTCCCTCAGACTGCAGCTTCCATGCTGCCGCCTCAGGGCTCCCTCTGGACCCCCGACTGCAGGAGGTCTCCCCAACTGTCCCTCTGGCACTCCATGCTTCTCCTTTACTGGCCTCCAGCTTCTGCCTTTACAACCCACTCCCGCCCCTATCCCCTCCTCTGCTTTGCTTTTTCTCTTCCTTAACATTTTTCTAAAGAAAACAGCTTTTTATTTTACAACAGGTCGTGACAGACGGAAAAGCAGTAAAAACAGTGCGGGGAGTTCCCATGACATAAACATCTGAGGTCTCTGCGGCGTATTTATCATAACGGAGAAGTGAATGTCCGTACAATGCAGACTTACTTGTACTTTAACAGGTTTTCCACTACTGTCCTCCTGCTCTTCCTGGATCCCATCCAGAAAAGCACATTACGTTTAATTTCCTCGTCTCATCCATCTCCCCTGGGGGGTGGCAGCTCCCCAGGTGTCTGGGGACACTACAGACAGGTGCGTTATGAGCAGCAGAAATGTATTCCACAGCAATCCAGGGGCTGGAAGTCCGAGGTCAGGGCCAGTGTGGTGGGTGCAGAGCCCCCTTTGGTCACAGGCTTCAGGTCTGTGCCCTGCCTCAGGAAGGAGCAAGGGAGCTGTCTGCGGTGCCTTTCCCAAGGTCAGGAATCCTATTGATGGGGGCTCCGCCCTCATAACCTACCCACCTCTCAAGGGCCCCTCCTCCTACACCACCTTGGCGGGGTGGGGGGTGGGGGGGTGTTAGGGTTTCGACCACTTAGTTAACGTGATGGGCGCCAGTGTCCTTCCCTCCCTGGGCTCTGTTTATAGAAGCGAGGTGCCCCGTTGAGCTCACTCGCCAAAACTCTTGTCATCAACAGACATGCGTCATACTCTACTTCTTTTATTCCTTGTTATTTCTTTATTTCACTGTCTCTCCAGGCAAGATCATAGCTTCACCAGGGCAAGGATTTGGGGGATTTCCTTCCTTTATCTCCAGCACCCGGGACAGTTCCAGACACAGAGTGGGCGTTGGATAAACTCCGCAGACGAACCCATCGCCCTCGCCACAGTTTGTACTCCCAGTTTATCTGTTCGGTTAGCTGGTGGTGGCCAGAGCCCATGTCTGCCGTGCCACCCTTGTACCCTTGTATGAATTCCAGGCCCGAGGCCCCGTCGGCGGCCCCCACACAATGGCCCTTGGCTGAAAAAATGTAAATAAGCAAGAGTGGGCAGGGCGAGCTCGCTGGGGTGTGAAATGTTTCCTCTTGGAGTCCAAGGTCATTTTCCTGGCCCAGGTCTCTGCAGAAGAGGCAGGGGTTAGGAGTCCTCGGCCCTAGCATTGTCTTCTGAGTTCTGGAGGCGGTGAGTTCGCTAGGGGAGGTCATGAGAGTCCATGTGGTCAGAGAGGGAGATGATAGTGGGTTCCCAAGAACAAACTGGGAGTTGGCAATAGCAGCAGGAACTCGAAGGGAGGTGGCTCCTAAGGGCTAAGTTGTGTCCCCCACCCCATCCATCTGTTGAAGCCCTAACCCCCAGCACCTCAGGACGACGCTGTATTTGGAGACAGAGCCTTTAAAGAGGTGATTCAATTAAAATAAGGTCAGTAGGGTGGGCTCTGATCTAGTCGGACCAGGGGAGACTGGGAGACCGAAGAAGAGGTTAACACCCCGAGAGATGGCCATGTGAGGGCAGAAAGACAGGAGACCATCTGGGAGCCCAGACAAGGAGAGGGCCCTCCGGACGACCCAACCCCGCTGATGCCTGGGTCTCAGACTCCAGCCTCCAGGACTGTGACATCACACAGTTTCTGCTGTTAAGCTGCCCTGTTACTGGATAGGACGGACGAGGTCAAGGGGAGAAAGGGCCGGTGGGGCGCTGGGGGAGCAGGGGCACGCGGTGCGAGTGAGCACCCCCTACAGGGCTGAGTGGAGGTGTCTGCTCACGTGCCAATGGGAGAGTGAGGCACACACTCAGGGGCGCTCAGGGTGTGATGCGGACCACCAAACCACCCTAACATTGGGGGGAAGAGAACAGACAAATGCCAGCCTCGTGTTCAGGGTCCCTGTCCCAGATGGCAACACAGGCCCCTCCTCCCCTTTGCTCCCCTTCACACCCCCTATCCTGGCCCGGAATAAGGTCTCCGTGGTTCCCACACACACCAGCTCACTCAACACCATTCCCCAGCCCTTCCCTCTGCTGGAGTCCCTTCCCTGTTCCCAAACCTGCTGTCTGTGGAAGGCTTACTTACTCCTTAGACCAGCTCAGTACCATCTTTTCCAAGAAAGCTTTCCTGATCTCTCCCTCTCTCCCAGGGGCTATATCATTTTGTTCATCCCAGGATTGTGTGACAATTGATTTACGTGGCCTGCAATGACACCCAGCAAGGAGCTTCCATGTGTGACATGAGGTGTCGTGGAGCCCAGCCTGCCCTCACACTTGGTAGCTGTTTTGTGGCCACGTGACCATGTGACCATGTACCCAGGGACCTTCAGACAATGCTGGACCTTGGCCTGACACACAGCACACCGACTGGACCTCCCCTTGACCTTGGGCTGGCTGAGCAAACAGTAAGAGAAAGATCTAGGCATTTCGCAAGGGAAAGGCACACAGGAGCTGATCTGACCCCGCAAGGAGGCCCAATCCTGGAACGCTGACCTGAGCAGAAATCACAGACGCAGATGAGCTGTCCAGGTCCGGTTGCAGCCATCCACCTGGCCATACGCCAACACAGGCACCACCCGGGTCCGAGAGCCTGAGCCTCTCCCTGACCTCAGCCTCTGGGCAGGCACTTATGTCCCCTCTGTGAGACAGGTACATTGACAGACTGTGCTGAGGGATTCCGGAGATGACAGATGCAAAGTGTCCCCAGAGGGCTGGCCCAAAGTAGGTGCTCAGTACTTCAGGGTGTGGCCAAAGCTTGGGGTTCTGACATCGTTTGGTCTAGGGGTTATTCTTGGGCAACACAGTGCAGACTCTGGGATCAGAGTGGTAGAGGCAGCCTCATGGGGGTGAGGGGCAAGCTGAGGGGCAAGCACTCAGATTTAAGGAGGCAGCTAATTAGGGGACAATGTGAGTGAAGGGCTCGTTCACTCAATCATTGATTCTTTGAAGTGTCCGATCCCGTTCATTTGATAGATGAGGACCTGTCTGTAGAGGCTTTCATAAAAGAGGAGAGAGGATAAGCTTACCTGCACCCCATGGGGGCAGATGACTGAGAGGTCCCTGACCCAAGCTTCTGGGACATAGTCATGTCTTCCCTGCAGCAGAGCACAGGGTTGAAAACATGCGTCTGGGGGGCCACACTCCCAGGGTCAAATCCTGCCTCCACCCCTTAGAAGCCACGTGACTGGGTTAACAGCCTGCTCTCTGCAAGCCTTGCCTTCTCCATCTGTAAAATGGGGAGAACCGTGGTACCGGCCTCAGGGCAGATAAATGTAGCCAACCAGGTAAAGCTCCTACCACCAAGCCTGGCACATGGAAAGCTATTGATGTTGCCATTCCCAGTGTTATTTCCGTAAGGACAATGACACCCAGTGTTTGCAACATGCTGTATTGTTATTGTGGACACTAAAATTCACAGTTAGTCATCAATGTCTTCAGTAGATATGGTAGTATTTGCAATGGGCCTCTGGGCTCCCCCCAAGCTGACGCCAGGAGGTTGTTACTGAAACCACACGATGGCTCGATGCTGTGATGGACCATTTCCACCCTGCTGTCCACTTGCTTTTCTTCAAGGACAAGTAGCGCTGGAATATCTTAAAATCTACCTTGACTGGCAGGGAACACCCAGCTTCCTTACATAACGTCAAGGAGCCTTCAGCCCTTCACCTGATCCTTCATGGTATGCATGGGGGAAATAGAGGTCCAGAGAGAGGCAGAATTATCCCAATGTCCCCCAGCTGGTTAGCTGGGACAGAAGCCCCATTCCAGACTCTCATTTCAGTGTTCTCTCCACACCATGATGAACTGATGGTTGGCATGGTTGGCAAGATGAGGGCTCAGCTTGGAAATACATTTCTTGGTAGAAATATCTACCAGAACAAGCCTCCTACAGAGCTCTGTGTCACTGGGCTGGAGGTCAGGGACCTGGATTCTGGGCTTCTCTCTACCACTAACATGCTGTGTGACCTTGGGCAAGTCAACCAGCCTCTCTGGGCCTCAGCGCTAGACTCCACCAAGGAAGGGTAAAGGCAAGACCAAATGCTCCTGAAGGATCTTCAAGGTGCCCACGTTGTGCAGTTGTGTGAGAAGAAGCAACCATTAGTATATCAATACTATGACTATTATTACTTGTAAAAGCCTCATTAGGCCACGAAACCTGTGTCAATCACCAGCTCCCAGCAGACAGATGCCACAGTGTGCCTTCAACTTCCGCCACCTGTGACCTTCCAGGAGACACACCCACCTCAGGGGTGGGTCACTTTGCCAACGAAGAGAATATTCGTGGAGTTCTCCACAATGACCATCAAAAAGGGCCTGTTGAATATGACCCTTTGGGAGCTCATCGGAGCTGACTTGAACATGAAGATGGTCTCTGTGGCTGCAGCTGCTTTGGTCCCGGACTCGTCCACCTCCACCATGGCCTTGTGCACCATCTGCAGAGGAGACATCAAGAGTCACTGAGCCACCAGGGGCTGGGAGATGTCATCCCAGGAGACAGCAGAGCTTCTGCCTGTGACATCCCTGTCGAAGTCTCTGTGACACCAAGCAGGTAGCTAATGACACAGCTGTGTGCCTACCGTGCACTGGGATCTGTGCCAGGAGGTGACTGACTGCGCCTGTGCTGTCCATTGAACTGTCACGGCATCCCACAGCAAGGTTGCGACCCTCCAATTTTATAGAGAGGAAGGTGGCACAGAGAGGTCAAGTAATTGTTGGAGGACACACAGCTAGTGAGTGAAGGAGCTAGCACTTAATTCTTAGTTTTGATTGCTGAATGAGAGCTCCTCCCGAGACAGGGAGCTGCATATGGTTTCCCATGGTGCATAGGATAAGACACAATGTAAGATTTTTTGCTTCTTAAGGGAAAAGAGGAGAGTGAGAGAGAGAGGAAGAGAATGTAGAATGTGGAATGGAATGGAATGGAATGGAATGGAATGGAATGGAATGGAATGGAAGGAGCAGAGTGGAGTGGGGTAGAATAGAATAGAAGAATAGCATGGCATGGCATAGCAGAGGAGTAGAAAAGAACAGATACCTTCGAAAGCAGGAGCTCAGGAGCTCCCAAGCTCACCTCAGACACCTGGATGCTGGAGTGGTTGGTGATGCCAGTCAAGTCAGCATGGCTGGTGAAGACGTCATTGATGCCCAGCATGGGGAGGACCTTCTCCAGCTGGTAGGAGCCCTCGATGGAGAACTTGGGAAGGTAGAGCTCAAGCTGCCTGGAAAGAGGACAGGAACATCCTGAGACTCTTCCCAGAGCGTTGGCTCCCCAAGCTCATATCTCCGCTCTCCCCCCTCGGCTTTGTAAGCATCCTTCTGCCCCTCATCTAGAGCCCACCCCACTCTGGTCTTGGAACTGGGCTGTCCCAGAGGTCCCTGCCTACTCTCATGGCTCCATCAGGAAAGCGGGTGGGTGTCCAGCCATGCTCCCTCAGGCTGGGCCAGCGCCTGGGGGCTGGAACCTCATGTGACAGCTCCAGGCTTGGAGGCCGCTCCTGGGCTGGGTGAGACCTTCCCACCACGGCTGTGTCTCCCCAGAGGTGAGCAGGGCCAGACTGGTCCCATGTCACCTGCAGAATACCTCTTTGTGAACATCCTGAGCCACTTCCTCAGTGTTTTCTCATTCAGTCCGTTCTCCAGCTGTCCCATCCTGCCCTCGCCGGGGAGGATGAAGAAAGCGGTGGCATTCCCTTGGTAGGGGACACCCACCACCTTGCAGGAGAGGTTTCGGTCCAGGAAGTAGTAATAATGGTCTTCCCCCTTCATCATGGGCACCCACACCACGGTCTCCGAGGTCACATGGAAGTCCTGCTTTCGGGTGTTTTTGTGGTCAAAACTTGTCCTCCACTTAGCTAAATATCAAAATGGGAAAGACATTAGAAATTCTTAGCTGCAAACGAACAGTGTCAAGACAGTAAACCCATCACGCAGAGCGTGTACTCCCCTCACAGTCTCCTCGGGGGCAGGGACCGTAGAACTCCTGCAATAGGAAGGTGAGTCTTTTTATAACTTCGGGGATGTGCCGGAACTTTCTGTGGGCCTTTTCCTCTGACGTGGGCCAAGCAAGGAGGATGCTTTTCATGTCTTTGGAGGCCCTCAACCACCGAATGGAGTTTGATTCTCTATTGTTTATTCAAGGTCAAACACCCTCAGGGAAAAGGGTCAACAATACAGATGATTGACAAATCGAAACTACACCTGGGGGAGTTATTCTGTTTTTCACTCTTTTCCCACTTTTGGATTTTGATCTATGTTTGGGAGAGAGGTTTGTAAGGTTCCTGGACACACAGGATTCTTGTTATGGAGAAGCCCTCCATTTGCCTTGCTGCTCCGTCTGATTTCTGCTGAGTCTCTACATCAGCGAGATACCAGTAGTTCTTTCCATCTAATTAGTATTCATCAGATTTGGAACCTACCCCAGGGCCCCTCGTAGCCTATGTCACAGTTGTCCCCTGCAGCCTGGTGTCCTAGAGAGAGCCCTGCCCTGGGAGACAAGAAATCGTGGATTCCAAGCTAGATGTTTGCTCGCCTTCTGTGCTCCTAGGAAGGGGGAGGAGTGAACAAGCCAACTATCTTCCTCTTTCCTCCTTCCTTCCCCTCCCTGCCTTTACTCACTCCTGCCTTCCCACCCTTGGCCAGACCCCATACGGGCATGGAGGGGCTCAGCATCTAGAAGGAGAAGCAGACATGAGAGCTGAGGTGAGTAGGGGTAACCACGAGAAATGTCAAGGGAATGAAGATGAAGAGATCATCTGTCATGAGAGAGGGGGAGAGGACTCTCCAGAGGGGACAGGGGCTTGTCAAGGCGTTTCTCGCTGAGGGAACAGCCCCTAGGAGGGCACAGGAGCAAGGATGTGGGGGTAAGGGAAGGCCCTCCAAGGTCTCTCTTAGACCCGCAATCCTGCCCTGAGTGGTCGTACGGTGGCCGTGGCAGTCTCGTGCTTTAGATCCAGCGTGGAAGCTGTGACTCCAGGGCCCACGGAGAGGACTCAGCTCTTCCCCGGTGGGGGAGACAGCAGCCGGGGGTCACTGACACCCCTTTACGCCCTCAGAAGATGCCTGCTCAGCCTCGGCTGCTTGTTGGCCTCACTCTGTCAACAGGCCCCAGAAGGGATTAAATCCACTCCCACTCCTTGATGCGTGTGGGGATTGGGTGCTCTTTTGACAAAAGCAGCAGGAAGGAGAACGTTCGGGCTGGCGCGCAAGGGTCTTACCTTTAAAGAAGATGTAATTCACCATAATCATGACCTCCGTGCTATCCAGGTCCTTCGCCAAGTCCGCAATCTTGCCTTGAGTTTGCTTTGCCACGTAATCATTGATCTGCTTCTGGGCCCCTGCGGGGTCCCCAAAGTCAGTGGGGAAGGTGTCTGCCAGGTACAGCGTCTTCATGGCACTCAGGAAGGTGTCCTGGAGGTGCACCTCGGGGCTGATGAACAGGACGTTGCCGAGGCTCAGCTGGACGTCCTCCCTGGGCTGGGCAAACTCCTGCAGCAGCTGGTGGAAGGTGTTGTGGAGCTCCTCCTCCGAGCCCTCCTGGGGATGGACGCCCAGGCCTTCCAGGATCTGCTCCTTCGTGTGGGATCGCGCCCCCAGGGACAGCATGGCCAGGGTGGTGGAGATGCTCAGAGGGGAGAAGAAGATGTTCTGGTCAGGGGCAGCCGTAGCCAAGGCCCTGTAGAGGTCAAAGGCAAAGTCTCTGCTGGCGGGGACCGCGGTGCTGAGCACGGGTAGCTCCTTGGCTCTCTTCTTCGTCTCCCGCGAGCGGGAGTGGAGCAGGCTGTCACCCAAAGGGGTAAGTAGCATCAGGCACAGGAGGAGGCAGAACTGCATCGTGGCCACTCCTCGTTCTGAAAGGCAGGTGGGAAGGGGTCCTCTGGAAGGGTGCACCGCTGGGGGGAAGTGCGTCAGGCGCAGGTCCCAGAGAGGTGACACCCTGAGTGGCAGAACCTAAGGGAGATGATGAGCCTGTGCAGTGGGGAGAGAGGTTTTGGGGAGAGCATGGGGGCTTGAGGACTGAGACTCAGGGGACTTGGGCATCTAAAGGTCAGAAAGGGAGGAGAAGGCAGAGCGTGCAGACCTGAGGTAGGGGCTGGCCCCCCGGGGGCAAGAGTCCTCTCATCCACATCAGGGCACATGCTATAGGGGGATGGGGTGGGGGAGGGCAGGGCTCTCCCTCCTTTTGCCTGATCTGCATCTCTGAGGTTCCCAGGGAATGAGAAGCCTTCCTCCCAAGTGGCCTCTGACTGTCACTTCGACCCCTGGGGACAGAATTTGCAAGGCCTGGTGGCCCTTTTATGAATTCAGACCAACTACCCACCCCACGGGCCCCTCAGACTGTTGGTCTACCCTTGTTTACTCAGCAGGTACATACTGTGCATCTCCCAGGTTGCAGGCAGGGTGCCAGGCTCCAGAGACTCATTGGTGAACAGGCAGATGCCAGCTGGTTCTTTCCTCCTCTCCCCTGGGGGGCTGTGCTAGGACCCCAGGGCCATCCTCAAGCCTCATCAGAGGTGCACGCCTCCCCCGCAACCCCGGGAGGAAATTCTGCACTCTTAACGTAAACACTCCAACTTCCCTCCTATTCTATGAGGGCTGAATTGTGTCCCCCAGACTCCTATGTTGAGGTCTCAACCCCTAGCCCCTCAGAATGTGACTATATTTGGAAACAAGGTCTTTAAAAAGGTCATGAAGTCAAAATGAGGTCTTCCTAGGGGGCCTTGATCCAATCTGGCCGGTGTCCTTGTGAGAAGAGATTAGGACCCAGACATACACAGAGGGGTGGCCATGTGGGGACCAGGGAGGAGACCAGCATCTGGGAGTCGAGGAAACAGCTTTGCCAAAACCTTGAGCCGAGACCAGTTTTCTATTCTGTGATGCTTTGTCACGGTGGCCTGAGCCAAACATCTCCTCTTCCTTCCATCCCCCAGATGAGGGGGCCAACTAGGTGGGCCCTGGGGGGTCTTCAACCCCTCTTCTCCTTCGTTCTTCCCACCCACCTCCCTAGACCCCTTCTCTCCAACCAGAATCCTTCCTGTGCCCAGGCCTGCCAAAGTCCCCTGTGCTCCTGGTCCCCTGTGATGAGCGCAGACTCTGCAGCCTCCTGGGTTCAAAGCTCGGCCCTGCTACTTCCTACTAGTGCGGTTTGGGGCAAGTCAGTCATGCCCCGTGCCCTGTCCCCCACCTGTCTGTACAGTGAGGGTGACGCTGTACCTGGGCCAGAGAGTGGCCGGGAGCTTTAAGGGGTCAGCATAGGGCAAGTGTTGTGGTTGGGCCTGGCGCAGATCTGGTGCGTGGAAGGGTCAGCTGTGGCCGTTGCAGCTTCAGAGTCAAAGCCCCACCAAGATGCCCCAATTCCTCAGCTATGCTGTGGGGTACACGCTCTCACCGCACCCTTGCTCTTGTGGGGGGGCCGGCGGCCTGTCTGCTGAGGAAAGCTCTCAGTGGTGAGAACTTCCCCGCGACTGGGTGGTCTTCTCCCATGGACAACATGTCATCAGGTCCCTGGCCTCAGGATCCTCCCAGAGTCACATGACCCCCCCCAACCCCAACGCCAAAGGGCCCCAAACAGCTGCATTGGACATTACATGCAAAGTGGCCCACTGTAGGGTGTGGGGGGATGCCAGTGACCTTGGGGGTCAGGCAGACCTGGGCTGCAGTCCTGTCTTTGAGCAAAATCAAATGACCTGAGCAGGCCACGCCCACCCACCCTGGCCTCCACGTTGCACCTGAGCTCATAAAGGAGGCTCATCTAGAATGTTCTGTCTGCAGACACTCCGGACCCCCAGAGCCCCACATAGCAGCCTCCGCAGTTATGGAGGTTCCTCGTACCCGCCTCTGTGGACCTCACACCCACCGGCAGAGGCAGGTTCTGCTACTGGCACTATTCAACAGAGGCGTCCTCTGAAGCTCAGAGAGGCCGAGCCACTGGCTGGTGGGGGCCCAGCTTGGGCTCAGACCCAGTTCTGACACCGTGATAATGTGATAAATGTGATGTGCCCTAAACCGCTGCGCCACGTGGCTTCCCTGGATGCCTGGCCCGCCTTCCGTGCGACAGCCCCCCGGTCTTGTTGTCCCCCACCCTGGCAGCCAGCACCGTAGCTGTGAACCTGCAGATGATTCAGCAACAGGGTCCGGGCTTCCCAGGCTGACACCCCCTTTCTGTGTGCACCCTGAGAGTGCGGGTCTTTAAAGGACGTGGCGGGGTGGTTTAATCTCTGTGTCCTTTGAACTTGTTAATTTTACAGCACAGTATGGTCCCTCCCGCAACGTGTCTGGGCATCAGGGTAGCGGGACGGAGCTGAGCAAACATTCAGCTCCACACACACACACCCGCCCCCCCCCCCCCCCCCCCCCCCGCCCCCATTATCACAGATTAACTCCCAGCTGATAATTACTTTAAAGGAAATGCTTTCAAGGAAGAGTTGCAGACACAAGGGAGTGTCCTGCTTGGATAGAGCCCAGGGCTCAGGCAGGAGAGAGAGTTCTGGCCTCCTGTCCTTGCAGATGCCCGGTGGCCTTGGGCCAGTCCCTGTCCCTCTACAGGCCTCACTGTGTTCATAATCAACTCAAGGTCTGTCATGTGCTGTGGCCAGTAACCTTTCTCTCCACCAGTTCCCCACCCCGTACCCCGCCAAACAGCAGAGGTCTGATGGGCCACAGCCGCTTTCCTGGCGCCCCCTGAGTCTTCCTGGACAGCTGAGTCTCTGTGGAGGGGACCCCAGCTTCATCCACTCTCCCCTGGGCTGCAGGCTTGGGACCTAGAACTCTCACTCCTTTGGGGCCCACTTTATCTCTTATGAAAGCCAGACACTCTACAGACATTATGACGTTGAACCATCCACGAGAGTCAGCATCATGAAGACCATTTCACAGATGGATAAACTGAGGTTGAACAGAATAACACAGCTTGTCCCAGCTAATGTGTGATGGAACCAGGATTGAAATCCAGATTCCTGGGACTGGTGTACACACTGCCTCTTGTCTTCCTTTCATGGCTCTGAGACATGATACCTCGTTCCTCCTCTCCTGTAGCTCCTGGGGAGGATCCCTGGGTGTCACTCAAGCTGTTCACCTGTATGAGCTCGTTTATCCTCCTCCACAGCATCTCGGAGCTGGTATCGTCATCACGATACAGAGGAGGAAACAGAGGGTCAGAGAGATCTCTTCTGAGAAAATGGGGCCTCAGGGAGCTCGGTTCAGGTTTCCCAGGCTCCTAGCCTGGGCCATCACACCCCTGGTCTCTGGTAGAAATATGCAGCTTTGACAGAGTTTTGTGTCAATTTGAAGCTGGGGCGAGTCTGCTCCAGGCCCTGGGAGCCTGGCCCTTGGGAGACCGGCTCTCAGGCAGGAGATTGGAGCCTGGCCCAACTGACTCTCTAGGCCCCTGATTCCAGTGTTTCTGCAGATGGGCCCAAGGTCCAAGGGAGGAGAGCTGATCATTCAGGTTCCTCTGGCATCCCAGGCCAAGGTGACGTGAGCCGGCTGGTGCGGGCGGGTGCGGGCAGGCACTGGGGCAATCCTCCCACTGATCCCCACTACCCATGGACTCAGAATCTGCTTCATTTATTCCAAATGTTGGGCAACAAAGTTCTACTGGGTCAACTTTGGACTCAGCTGGGGGAGGTGGGTGGCGGAAGTCTGTCCACTGATTGCAAGAGGAGATGTGAGCCTTGGGACATAGGCAGAGAGGGAAAAACAAAATCCCAGTTTCCTCGATCCTAAAGATCTGGGAGAGCTTCCTGGCAGCAGTGACTCAGGGAACTTTCTTAGCCTTCCTCCCCACCTCCAGACCATCAGTGAGGTTTGTGGGTTTCTAGCTCCAGAGCGGCTCTGACATCTGCCAGCCTCTCCCCATTTCACCTGCCATGTCCTCCAGAGGCCCTGTCACTTTTCACCCACCCGCTCCCCTTCTCCTCCTGCCCCCAGAGCCATTCTGAAGACATCTCCCTTGGTCACCCACCCCGGGTCACAGCGCCCCACCACGTAAGAAGGTCATTGCTGCCCCCAAGGTGTTGAGGGGCAGGACCAGCTTCTCCCTGGGCCTCGGGCCCCCGCTTGAATCCCACTGCTGGTGATCCCTTGCCCGCACCTGGCCCCTCCCTCTGTGTTGTTATGCTCTGTAACGGCCCCTTGATTGTCTTGCTGCTCTGCTGTGATGTAAGCGCGAGCCCACATGGGTTTGCTGGGGCCTTCCAGCATTCCGGCCTCTCTCCCCAACAAAAACATGTGCTCCCAACAGAGAGGACCGGCACCAACCCTGCTCTCCCTGTGAGATTTGCAGTCAAGGGCTGGAGATTTTTGCAGTCAAATGCTCTACCACTGAGCTATACCCCCTCAGACCCCTTTATGGAATGAATGAATGAATGAATGAATGAACGAATGAATGAATGCCTTCTCTGTGGCTCTGGGGTTTTAGACCCCATGCTGGACATGGAGCCAGGCTGGTCTCCCAGGACTTGCCAGCTCCTGTCCTGCTGCCTGGCTCCCATTTCCCGTTTCTTTCTTAAAAACTATTTTATTGAGGTCTGACTGACATACCAAAAGCCATACATCTTTCCCATGTACATCCGCGAAACCACCACCACCAACAACACATCCCTCGCCTCCTCCTTCTATTGTATTTTTTGCCAAGGGCCCCAGCCTTAGGAAAACTGAACAGTACACTTATTTTATGTCGACATTTTGCTTATTTAACAAAATGCCTGGGCCGCCTGGGTGGTTCAGTCAGTTTAAGTGTCTGCCATCAGCTCAGGTCAAGATCGCAGGGAATAGAGCCCCACATTGGGCTCCCTGCTCAGAAAGGAGCTTGCTTCTCCCTCTCCTTCTGCCCACCCCCGCTTGTGCACACACTCTCTCTCTCATTAAATAAGTAAAAGCTTTAAAAACAAAACAAATAAACAAGAACCAAATCGCCAAACAGCATCTGGAGCTCGAGCAGCCAGCCTGCGGGCCGGGCGGCCCTCACTCAGGGAAATGGAGATGTTCCATACCTTCTCCTGATTTCTCAAGGTCCAAGATTGCAGGCACGGAAAACAATACAGAAGCGCTCTGGGTTATGGAGCCCGGCCTTGGGGACCAGATGCTTCGTCCCCACAACCTAACTTCGGGGCTTCTCCACCTCCTTCCTGATCTTTATCGCAGGGACTGTCCCGTGCCTTGTCGGGGGTCTACTCACTGGATGCCAGCGCAGCCCTGTCTCCAGCTGCACCAACTACAAATGTCTCCAGCTGTTGCCAGATGTGCTCCAGGGATAAAGTACCTCCTGGGTGACAGCTAGCATGAACTGAATCTTCGAAGCAGCCGTGCATCTTGCCTATAGGGACACTGAGGTGCAGCCATGTGGAGGGTCGTGCCCAAGTTCACACAGCCAAGGGTGGGGTTGGGGGGACGCTGCTGCTTCCAAGGCCCTGGCTGTTTCCCCATCACCGCAGAGAGTTTTCCTGGTCGCTCTGGGACAACACCAGAGCTTTGAAGCCCCCCAGATCCCATAACCCGAGTCCTGTCTTCACCATTCCCCACATACCCTTAAGCCCATGGACCCCCTGTCCATCTTCAGTACCTGTACTTACTCTGTCCCACAGCCAAGCGTGCACGCAGTGGAGGTCACAGTCCCTCATGCGCCGTGAAAAGCCGAGTGTTGGGACTGGAACCAGCATTTGCCACTGACCTTGGTTGGGCCCTGACTCCACCCACCTTGGCCCCGCCCCGTCCTGTCCCGCAGGCTTCTAGCCAACCCACGGGCTGCCGACATAGCCACCGGAGCTCTGACCCAGGCCACCAGCTCACTGCCCTGCCGCTGCCAACCCCACACAGACCCCTGTTTGCTTGCAATGGCACAGGATCCCCCAGGGAGGGCACCGGCTGCTGGCATTCCAGACACAGAAAAAGGGGCACCCTCTGGTCGGCCTCCCTTTCTCCAGGTTGATTCCATATCTCCTGCAGCCACTCGGCTATACATCTGAGGAAGTGCGGTGTGAGCCCAAGATCTCTGCAGCCCTGTGTGCTTGCTGGATTCATTTACCAGTGAGAGTCTGGTGGAAACTAGAGGGACTGCGTGTCACCACAGCTGGATGAAGGGACCATTGTTTCCAGTCCCTTGGCTGTGCGCATAACTTAATTGAGGCTCAGAAAGATGGAGGAACTTTTCAGAGTCATGCAGCAAATTAGGGACAATGTGGGACCAAGTGCCCAGATCACCAACTTCAAGGTCAGGGCTCTCTACCTGTATCTAGGATTTTGGTAAGCTCATCTGGACTCCCCTTTCCAACCTTGAAACGGGGGCTCTGGAACTCAGCCCCATGATTCCAAGAGCACTTCCAAGATGCTGGTGCAGGGTGCTGGCTCAACCCTTGTCTCATTCCTAAGGTCCCCATGCCCCGGTATTAGGTGACCCGTGTGTGGCCATGACCCAGATGTTGTGTGGGTGAGCTGGGGTGTGGAGTTGGCAGAGGAGACAGGGGGCTGGACATTGCCCAGGGGAAGCAGTCTTGGTGTTTGGCAAACAGGGTCCCTCTACTGCCTCTAAGACCAGGAGGAGACTGAACTCAGCTTTAGTCTAGAGCCTAACACAGTTACTATCAGACATCGAGCACTTGCTTTGTGCTCACTGCCTTCCCAATGCGCAGGAAGGTGGGTACTAGTATGCCCATCGGATCAGTGAGCGGGCAGAAGCAGAGAGAAGTTAGGTAATCAGCCCAAAGTCACACAGCTAATAAAGAGAAGCATTAGCAGGAAGAAAGCTAGGTCTTTTCTGTCCATTGTGCTATGTGATGTTGTAAAAGTAGAGATTCCTAAACTATACTCTGTAGGGTGGAAATCATATTACCCACCTATGCGGGGGTAGATAATCTTCCCTCCAAAGATAACCACGTCCTAATGCCCAGGATCTGTGAATCTTCCCTTATATGAAAAAAGGGACTTTGCAGATGGGACAAAGTTAAGGATCTTGAAGTGGGGGAGGGGCAAGCACAGATCACCCAAGTAGGTCTTTTTTTTTTTTTAAAGATTTTATTTATTTATTTGACAGAGAGAGAGAGATCACAAGCAGGCAGAGAGGCAGGCAGAGAGAGAGGAGGAAGCAGGCTCCCCGCTGAGCAGAGAGCCCGATGTGGGGCTCGATCCCAGGACCCTGGGATCATGACCTGAGCCGAAAGCAGAGGCTTTAACCCACTGAGCCACCCAGGCGCCCCCACCCAAGTAGTCTTAAACATAATCACAGGGGTCCTTCTAAGTGAAGGCCATGGGAAACCCGAATCCGAAGAAGCAGAGTGATCATGGAGGCAGGAGAAGACCACGTGATGCGGGGATGCTGAGGAGATGTGATGGGCAAGGATCTCCAGAAGGAAGCCCTGCTAACTCTTGATGTTGACCCAGTGAGACCTGTTTTGGACTTTGGACCCTTAGGAATTGTAGGAGAATAAATGTGTGCTGTTTTAAGTGACTAAGTTTGTATTAATTAGTTATAGCAGGAACAGGGAACAAGTGCAATATTCCCCAAATGGATATTGGATATAAATGGATATTGGGAAGATGGGACTGACCACGATAGGAAGGACTTCTCCGGCTCTGTGTGCTGCTCCTGGAGACAACCCATGGCCTGCATCTAAGCCTGTGTTATAAAGAATATCTTGAGAATTTGGGGAAAGTCTGTGGCCACCCCGACTTCCCCTTGCTGCTCAGAAAGGGCTCTGAAGGAAGGGGGCAGAGACTGGGTGGGTTCCAAAGAGAAAGGTTTGGGGGTGAGGTCTCAGGGCATGATGACCCGTGTTTAGCCCGCTGGGGCTCCCATAACAAAATGCCATAGACTGGGGGACTTAAACAACAGAATTTATTTTCTCACACTTCTGGAGGCTAAAAGTCCGAGATCAAGGTGACATCAGATTTGGTTTCTGGTGAGATGTCTCTTCCTGGCTTGTAGATGGCACCTTCTGACTGTGTGATCACATGGGCTCTTTGGGCGTAAGGAGAGAGAGAGGGCAAGAGGCAGCTCTGATGTCTTTATAAGAAAATCCTCTTTGTATAAGGACACCGTTCCTGTGGGATTAAAGCCCAGCCCTGAGGACTCATCTAACTGTAATCACCTTCCCAAAAGCCCCCATCTCCAAATACAGTCACATTAAAGGTTAGGCCTTCAACATGTGAATTTTGAGGGGACACACTTAAGTCCATAACAGCCACAGCAAGAGAGTAGGATGGGCTGGTGGCCATAAAATAGGAATTTAAAGGACTCAATAGGTCAAGATAGATTTATTTTCCCATTAACACCAAGAGCTTCAGAGAGTGCCATCTCAATAGGTGAGTTTTCCCCTGGGCATAGGTGGGTTCTGTTCAGCCCACTGAGGGCTACAATGCTGAGCAGAAATGCCTTTAATGAAATGGGGGCCATTACTGACCCACCTGCCTGGACCCTGACACCGTCAGGCCACTTCACCTGTTCAAGGGACCTGCGGCGTATGAAGTTGTGACTTGCTCTAGAGGACAGGGTTGTGACAAAAGATAAAATGTGAGACTAGTTAGCATCTGCGGGGCACCAAAGACGTGTGCTCTACGTATAATAACTCATCCAAAGCTCGAAATGGGCTTCCGTGTTAGGTAGCTTCGTTGCCATTTTACAGATAAGGGAACTGAGGCACAGAATACCCCATTCCCCATACTGTTATGGCTTGAACTGTGTCCCCCCCAAATTGAAGTCCTAACCTCCATCATAACCATAAAGTTGACCTTATTTGAATATAGGGTCATTGCAAACAGAATCAGTTAAGATGAAATCATCCTGAAGGGGGTGGACCCTTGATCCCCCATGACCAGTGTCCTTATAAAAAGGGGCAATCTGGGCACAGACACACACAGAGAATGCCACAGATGGCCAGCAAACCACCGGAAGCCAGGAGGGAGGTCCAGAACAGATGCTCCCTTACAGCCCTCAGAAAGAACTGCCCTGCCAATGCCTTGGTCTGGGACTTCCAGCCTCCTGAACTCCGACATAATACATTTCTGTTGGTTAAAGCACCCAGTCTGTGGTGATTCGTACCGACAGACCTAAGAAGCTAATACACACAGACGTTGGTGGCGGCCAGATTCAAACCCAGACATTCTGGCTCCAAAGTCTATGTTCCATACCTGGGAATTCTGTGGCTTCTTGATAACTCCCAGGAACATGGGTACCAGGCCTCTCTCCCCACAGGTGCTCAGAGCAGGGAGCATCGCAGCCACTGGCCTTTGCTCTGCCACTTATGAGAGGAGCACCTCACCTTCCCAGGCAGCCAGGGATGAAACGGGCTCTTTCCTGCCCCTCCCCTACCACACTGAGTCCAAGCCAGCGGCTCCTAGATCTGTAGCTTCATGGGACCCCATGTCCACCCTCCCGTTTCTGCTGCTACAGCTGCTGGGGGTGGGGCTCTGTGCCCACTTATGGGGTGGGGAGTGGGAAATGAGATCCGGAGAGGTCAAGTGCCTGCCCCACAGCACAGGGTTAGAGGGGAAGCTGGGGCTGCACCCCTCCTTGTTTCCACCCAGATTTCAAGTGCCTCCCCCCTCCACTGGGGAGATCCCCCTGCTTTCCCGATGGCCCCCCACCTCGTCACTGTGTGCTGAATGGCAGGAAGAATAACGGAGAGAGCCCACGCGGCATCTCCACACCCACTTAGGAGAGCCATGCACACGCATCATTCCACTGGCATCTGGGGGTCCTAATGCTCATAGTGTTCCCATCACCGCCCTCTGCCCTCCTGCTGCTAAGTGCAGGAAGGTTCCATTTTTCCTCTGGAAGAGACCTACTGAAATCACAAATGCATGTGGCCCCTCGGAGCGCTGAACGCTGGGTCCCCAAGAAGCGGGTTCCCCAAGGGGCATAACAAGTGCTACCCAAGGAGGGGACCCCATAGGGGAGCAGCAAAGGAGAAGAGAAGGAGGCCAGGGCCCCACTCTGGGGGATAAGTTGCCCTGCCTGGAGTCTTTTTTTTTTTTTTTTAATTGATTTCTGGGTTTAATGTTCCAAAAGGGCATTTAGAAATCTGAGAAGTTGGCATAAATATTTACCCAATCAATGCTAGGGATGAGTCAACGGGGTGGTGCAGAACAAACAGCTCGGGGACCTTGTTCAGGGCAGAGCGTTTTCCATTCATTCATTCATTCATTCATTCACCAAATAGCAGCTGAGCCTCAGCCACACACCAGACCATACAATCAACCCAGGGGCCAGGTTCTGGGGTGAGTGAAAGGAACGCAGGTTGAACAGAGCCCTGCCTTCCAGATGTTCTGTCTAATCAGGGCCAGGGGAGCAGAGACTACTGTCCGCCCACCACGTTTGATGGTAGGATGGCAGTCCGCCTTGGGGAGGGCATGAGGCATTTGTAGGAAATCCTGGCAGATTCTCAGAGATGGGGAAGGGGGCTCTCTGGACACTGGGAGCCTGCAGGGAGCAAAGGCCTGGAGTGGAGGCTATACGACAGCCTGGGGAAACAGCACGTTTCCATGGCTGATGTCACTGGACGTGAGAGTGCAGGAGGAGGGACTGAGGTAGAAGAGGCAGGTGGGGACCAGGTCAGCAGGGCATTGACTGTGGGTAGAGGACCTCGAGCTTTATCTTGTTGGCAATAGGGAGCCACTGAGGGCTTCTGATCTGGAGAGGGACAGACTTCATCAGAATACGGGAGCATCACTCTCAAGGCTGGACTGAGGGTGACAGCTCCGCTTTCCTCCCCTTCATCACACCCAGGCTTCATGTTCCCACTCCCCTAAGCCACACCAGGACCAGGCCCTTTCACCCGACGGGCTTGAATCCACCCACCCACCTGCCTCCATAGGGAGAGAGTGGGCAGTGTCAGCCTGGGCCGGACTTCAGCTCCTGTCCAGCTCTTAAAAACCAGAATTCAACTTCCCAGCAAGTGCAGGGGAAAGTGGACCAATACTTTCAGTAACGTAACTGCTTTTCAGCCAACCAAACCAGGGGTAGAAAGGAGGGTCTGCACTCCTCTGAGCATGGGTGGGCACAGGGTCCTGTAGCATTTCCAGTACCTTGTCGGTGTAGCTCGGGGCCGGTATGATGAGCTCAGCACTTTCCTCCTCTGGGACTTTCCTTTACCAGTGTTGTTCCCAGGCTGTCCTGTCCAGCTCAGGGTTGTGCTTTAGAAGCCAAGGGAGAGAACCTCAAAATCTCCCCTTCCCATCCTCTCTAGCTTCCTTCCACAACAGCGTTCCCACCATAAGCTCTTGCCCTAGATACCGGTTTCCTGGTTTCCCACAACAATCTTATTCTTGTATCTGTAGCATGATGTGGGCTGGGGACCACCTCCCATAAAGCCTGGATCATTGTGACTCTGGATCTGTCATCTCAATGCTAGCCTGTCTCTCCAGGCGCCAGTGGAAATCAGGGTTCATGACAGCAAGACTCCTGGCCTCTGATGCACTGGCCCGACAAGAACACGCCAGGGCCCGGCTGGGGAAATGCGTTTGCCACACATTCCTGAGATTCAGGACAAACACCGCCGGGGCGGCCGGCCTTCCTCTTCCTGCGGGAAGAATAGAGGTTTCTTCTCTAAGACTCTGGGTAAACCCTGGCTCAGAGAATTCACCCCACATAGTACAGACATCTGAGTGGGGCCATCTGGGTCAGTCCCTATCAGCCAGGTGAGGAAGCAGACCCAAGAAGGGAAGAAATTGGCCTGAGGCCCGGAGCTGATCAGCAGAAGAGTAGAATATAAGCACGGGCCCCCAGGCTCCAATCTCATGTTCTTCCTTCTTTCTGCTGTGCATCTTTGACCTTGGCCGTTGATCCTGGGGGACTGGCCCCATCTCCAAAGTCAAAGGAAGAGACAGTGCCTGTGCCACCCCGGGGGAGAGGGGAGCTGCCTGCCTTGCTGAGCCTTCCTCACTAGGTCGCTATGGTGACTACTTTGGTGCTTTCCCAGTGAAAGCCTTCAGAGCGCCGCTCTAGAAATAAGGCGTCCACTCTGCTGGGGACAGCCAACTGCTGACATTGCTTCCCCCTTACATATACACCTTGCCAAACCACTGGAACTTGGGACATCTCACCCCCATGTCCAGGGCAGGGCAGAGCAAACCCCAAAGGTATGGAGAACAGGGATGCATTTATTGAGTACCTACTATGTGCAAGGCACCAAAACATGTTCCTCATAGCCATCATTGTATTTAATCCCTTCAACCACCTAGCAGAGTTTCTCCCACTATCCAGGGTGGTGCTCAAAGAGGTGAGATGATCTGCCCTGAGAGCTGGGTGTCTAGTCCACACTTATCTCGTACCACCTATGTCCCTCACCCTCACCAACAGCTTCTGTCCAGGATCTCAGGATCTTCTGTGTCCACCACTCCAAACACAGAGCTGCTCACACCGAGCCCACCCTGGGCCACATCATCCTGCTTGTAATAGAAGAGCCAGCCCTGGGAGGGCTATGGTTTCGTGGGGTTGACAACCTTGCCCAGGAAGATGATGCTCTGGGTATTGGTGGAAAAGATCACCACGAGGAAGGGCCGGTTGAACCGAAGGACTCTGCGATTGTGCTGGGCAGACATAAAGGTCACAAAGCTGCCAGTGGCCGCTGCTGCCTGGGTGCCAACCTCATCCACCTCCAGAATGGCTTTGTGAAAACTCTGGGAAGGAAATCACAAGGGTTACCTCTAAGAGAACATGAATCAGAACTTAGGGAAGCCTGGACGAACCAGAGATCGCTGGAGATCAACGCTGCAGGCCACTTCCTGGGGATCCCACAGCAAGAACATCTACACTGGGGAGATCTGTGAGCTGGATGACCTCTTATTTATAGGAATAATTATTTCATTTTTTAAAAAAGATTCTATTTATTTATTTGACAGAGAGAGAGAGCACAAGCAGGCAAAGTGGCAGGCAGAGGGAGAGGGAGAAGCAGACTCCCCGCTGAGCAAGGAGCCTGATGCAGGGCTCAGTCCCAGGACCCTGGGGTCATGACCTGAGTGGAAGACAGACTCCTAACTGACTGAGCCACCCAGATGCCCCTCAGAATGATTATTTCTATCAGCAACTGAACACTTACTATGTGTCTAGGGCTCTTTTTAAATCTTCATAGCCATCCTAGAAGGTTGATATATTACGGCTGTTTTGCAGACCAAGACACTCACTCACCCTTCAATGCCATAAGAGGAAGACCTGGAATTCAACTCTGCAACCCAAGGCTCTACCCTGGCGTGCACTTCTGTCTTCTTAACTAAAGTCATAGGTCTCTTTCTTCTATCGAAGTGATCTCTGATACACACACCCCGGTCAACCTCGTCGGTATCCTCCTTCTATTTTATCAATGCGTTTGTCTATACATTGTGATCTGTGAAGCCCACTTTGCTGTGACAACTCCCTGAGGACAGCAGTGGGATGAACGTGGGATCCCCAGTGCCAAGTACCATGCCAGCATGGGAGTGGGCTGGTTCGAGGATGCCCATGTCTACAGATGGCTGAATGAAACCCAGGCTCTGAGATTTCACGTGGGGCAGAGAGAACACCCATAACCCAGCAGTCCCCAAGGGGCAGAATTTTCCTACCAAGTCTCCAGGCATGGAGGGCCACGATGACTTACCTTGGACACCCGCAGTCTCCGCTCTTCGGTGATGCCGGAGAGGTCAACCTCCTTCGAGAACAGGTCCATGAAGCCCATCTTGGGCAAAATCTGATCTAACTGATAGGAGCCAGAAATGGAGAACTTGGGGAAATGGAGCTCGAGCTTCTTATAAAAATACCTGAAGGAGGCATGGGGTTACACAAGTGAGGGACCCCGGCGCACTATGCTCCTCTTGCCTGCACCCTCTAGCTGGCCCCACTGCATCTGACTTTGCTCCAGTGTCCCCAGGGACTTAAGGCCAGGCCCCTTTGCCCTCAAGACTGCTCTCTGCAGGAACTCCCTTGGGAGATCATCTTCAGCAGAGGGGGCCTTCTGTGGGCAGGCCAGGTGCCCAGGGAGATGAAGTCTCCCTGTGTGGTAGCTTTCCCTTCACCTCTCTTGGGGTCCTATGGTTTTCACTTACATGGGACCAGATGATTTTTTTGGCTAGAATTCCTCTGTCACATAAGCTGTGCGAATTCTCCATCCACATGTGGCCTTAGGCTGAGGCCCTTATCTATGGGCCCTCATCTATAAATCTGAGGCCCTTATCTATAAATTTTTCCCATTTATAGCCCCAGGGTGATAGAAAACTACTTCCTTGGATGGGTGGATGGGATCTTTTGAAGTCCCTCTGTGCTAGGAACCTTGACGGGAGGTCTACCCACTCACTGCACAGTTGGGCAGACCCTCGGAGAGTCAGTGTCACCTCACCCAAGTCTTGTGCACTGTAAGGGCTACATCTAGAACCAGGAATCTTAACTCCTAGCCTGGTTCTCTTTTCACTAATGGGGCAAAAATCGTATTTCAGATATAACAAGAGAGTTCATCAGCGAGGGAAACCCATGGAAAGGCTTAAAGCAAATAAGAATTCTTTCATAATTTGACAACATCCCCATGTAGGGCACTGGCCTTCCTTAGAAGGGTCCATCTGAAGGGCAATGCTGTAGACTCAGCACCACAGGTTACATTGATCACCTCTTCTGAAGCAAGTTGTTCCACCTTGTTAGCATCTCTGGAGTCAAGACCTCCTCCACATTCGCCATTTTCCCTTGGTCCGGAAGGATGAAAAAGGCCACCAGGTTTCCTTGGTAATCCATCCGCAGCACCGAGCAGGGCAAGAATCGGTCATGAAGATACCAGTGGTGCTGTGTGTCCTGCAGCATCATAGGTATCTTGACAACAGTATTCTCATCCACGTGGAAGTCTTGGGTAGTGGTCATCGAGGGAACAAATGGTTTCTCCCACAGAGCTGAAGGGAAGATGGAAAGAAGGCACAGGGCACCTGGGGACTAGCAGGCCGACCGTTTAGCCAAGGGAGTGTCTCTCCCACAGCCATGGAGATGCCCCCCTTACTATTTCATCACGGTGTACCACTTAGGTCCTTCAAAACCTGACCTGCCTAAGAAATGGATTCTCTCAGGGCTCATTTAGATTCTAAAATGGGAGATACAAAAGGATATCAGCAACGTTGTTTCATGTCTTCACCATTTTTTAAAAAAAATTTTATTTACTTATTTGTTTTATTTACTTCTTTCTTTTAGAGAGAGAGCGAGAGAGAGTGCAAGAACAGAGAGGGATGGGGGAGAAAGATGGGAAAAGAATCTCAAGCAGACTCTGCACTGAGCATGGAGCCAGACACAGGGCTCAGCACCATGACCCTGAGATCATGACCTGAGCTGAAACCAAGAGTCAGACACTTAACCAACTGAGTCACCCAGGCACCTCAGGTCTTCACCATTTAATTTACATTGCCAACCTGATGTTTATGTAGTTGTAGCTTATTATGACTTTGTAGTGCACTTTCTTGGTTAAAAATGAGGTTGAGCAATCTTTTGTATGTTTATTGACCAACAAAATGTCCCTCTCTTTTTTTTTTTTTGTCTTGTTACATCAGTGCTAGTTCATGTTCCTCCCTGTATTTGTGTAGGGTTGTTTCTTAGTGGTTTGCAGGAGTCCTTTCTGAACACTAGTTGTCTATCAGTAGTGTGAGTTGTAAATCCCTTGTCTCTCTCTCTGACTTAACTTTTCACTCTAGTAATGGTGTGTTTTGAAATTCTTAACTTAAATGCAGTGAACCTATGAGTCTTTTTCTTTGTGTTAGGACTTCTGTGTCTTGTTTAAGACAACTTTCCCTTCAAGGTCATAAAGATACTCCCTTACATGATATTCTAGGAGATTTAGTCTTCCCTTTTGCAAAAAGGACTATCCTCCACCTAGAATAAATACTTATTGTTGGTTGAAAGGAGGGGTCCAAACCCATTTTGTTCCCCTTGTGGGTACCTAGCTGTCCCAGCACCAGTGTTCCATCATGGCAGTGACGGGGGTGATGCCAGCTTGGACAAATACCATATGTCTCTGTATCTATCTGTATCTATCCATGGGGCCACTTCTGGACTCTATCTCTGGCCTCACTATTCTGTCCCATTAGTCTATTTGTACTTCACAGCCTAAATTAATATAGATTTATGATAAGTCTCACCTTCTGTCAGGTAAATTTTCCCATCTTAACTATTCTTGGCCTTTTGCACCTCCATATACAGTTTAGAATCAGCTTATTAACTGCCACCAAAAAAAAAAATCTGTTAGGCTTTTGATTGGGATTGCATTAAATATTTAGATTAATTCATGAGAGAATTGACATCTTTACATATTAAGTCTTCCTTTTCATGAACATAGTATATCTGTACTTTTGAAAATTTAAGTCTATTATCTCTCAAGATAGTCTTCTCTACAGAGATCCTATGCATCTTTTGTTTGTCTTCTTCTAGGTACTTTTCAGTTTTGAAGGTAAGCCACAGTTGTTCTCCCCTTTACCATGTGAGAGTGAGAGAGTGAGGCCTGGGGCTAAATTTACATCCCAAAGTGTTGGGTAAGACGTCTCTATCTCCTTCCTATTTCTAGGGAACCTCTCACTCTCAGGCCAACAACACTAACCCAACTGGAGCTAAGTCTCTTTCAGGAAGAGAGCACCCAAACCCTTCTTTATATTCAGAGCTTTGTGTAGGTTGATGGTGTATACTATACATTTAAATTACATTGATGATGTGTACTCTACATTGAAATGGTTCTATAAAATATTGTGCAGCCATTAAAGTAAGATCTAAATAAAGTTTTCAATAGCATAAAGCTGTGCATGCACACACACACACACACACACACACACACAAATGCATGTAAAACCTGGTAAATCTGAATAAAGTCTGTAGATTGCACCAATGTCAATTTCCTGGTTTTGTTTTTGTATGACAGTTATGTGAGATGTTATCTAACCTGGATGAAAGGTACACAGGATCTCTCTGGACTATTTTTGCAACTTTTTATAAGTTTATGGTCATTGCAGAATTAAAAAGATTTTTGAAAAAGTTTTCAGTGGTACATAAATAATTCCATGTGTAGAATACAAGCGATGACTGATTTGGCTGGATTGTTAGTCTGGGACTGTTTCCCAGAATCTGGGTTCAAGGTGGTTACAGTTGTGAGATTGGGAGGTAGATGTGAAAACAACCCTCACATGCTGAAGGTCTTCCCAGGAAGATTGGATGATGACAGACCTAGTGGAGCTCTCTGTCCTCCAGGTTGTCCATGCTGTCCTCCAAGTTCATTGTCCAACATTAACCCTCCAGAGCAATGTGTCCCTAAGTCACTACCAGGTGCCTAGCATGGGCCTCTCCAAAGTTCCCCCTACATGGACCCACTGTAGTGGTTGGATGTACCTGGCATATAGATCCTTAATAAGGTCCAAACTTTCACCTGCACCAAGGACTTCACTCTGTCCATCCAATGTTGTTTCCTCTAGGTCTTCATTTGCCTAGAGTTGAGTGAGGTCCAATTCCTATAACAATCCCCTTTCCCTTAATAATCATGGTGTCTTTGCTCCTCTGATGGAACACTGATGATACACACTGTACAAATCTGTCCCCACGCTGTGATTTCAACTGTTAATATATGTGTGTGAACGGAAGACGGGAATGAATTAAGTGAAGACATTAACACTGGTTGCCTCGGGTGGTAGGATTATGGGTAATTTCTACTTCTCTTTTATATCTTTATGTGGTTTTTAAATTTTTTATTTTTAAAGATTTTATTTATTTGAGAGAGACAGCAATAGGGACAGAGATAGTGAGAGAGAGCACAAGTGGGGAGAAGAAGGAGAAGCAGGCTCCCCAGTGAGAAGGGAGCCCAATGCGGGACTCAATCCCAGGACCCTGAGATCATGACCTGAGCTGAAGGCAGGCTCTTAACTGACTGTGCCACCCAGGCTCCCTCTTTATGTGTTTTCAAGGATCTTTGAAATGAGCATTGCTATCATTAGATAAATTACAGTTACTCTAATTATTTATTGAGTATATATAATTGTCAGAGATTGACAAACCTCTTTCACAAAGGGCCAGAAGGCAAATATTTTAGGCTCTATGGCAACTGTTTATCTCTGTGGCTGTGTGAAAGCAGCCAGAGACAATACATAAATGAGTGGGCATGGCTGTGTGCCAATAAAACTTTATTGACTAAAACAAATGGCCCATCAGATGTGGCTGGGGGCAGTAGTTTGCCTATCCCTTTAGATCCTCTTCTAAGGAGTACACAAAAATGTCACATAATTTGATCCTCAAAACAAAACTTTGAAGGAAGGATTCTTACTATCCTTACTTCAAGCAAACAACCTGCCCTGCTTACACCATTGGTAAGTGACAGAGCTTCGCTATGAACCCAGCAGTTCACCTTGTGCATTTCATACATTACTGTTATGAAGAAAATAAGAAAATATGTTTAAAGACACGAGGAACCTCCATACTACACAATCTTAAATACCTGATGCTCTCACATGAATCTGCTAAGGATTGCTTGACCCTATCTGACCCCATCCATCCACTTTCTCTTTTTTAAATACCTAATCCATCCACAAATCAGAAGAAGAGAGAAGCTAGAGGATCTACCAACAAACCAAGTCTTACCTTTGAAGTAAATGTAATTCACCAGCACCATTGTGATGTCCGTGCTCAGGTGGCTGACCAAATCCACAATCTTTCCTTGAGTTTCCTCTTTGACGTGGTCATTGATGAGCTGGGTGGTGCCCACAGAATTGTGGAAGTCGGTGAGGAAGAGTTTGGATTCATAGAAGGCCATGCTGTCATTAAGAAATCCCGGAAGGATCGGTAGGTCCTGGCTCAGGAACAGGGCGTTGCCCATGTGCATCTCCAGCCCGTTGCCCGGGAGGTGGAGAGTGTGCAGGAGGTGCTGGAAGCCCCGGTGGATGTCCTGCTCAGACAGCTCCGTAAGGTTGAAGCCCAGACCCTCAAGGATCCGGGTCTGGCTGTGCGAGCGGGCCCCCAGGGACAGCATGGCATAGGAGGCAGAGATGCTCAGTGGGGAGAAGAAGATGTTGCTCCCAGGACTTTGGGAAGCCATCAGGTAGTAGAAATGGAGAGCAAAGGCTGTATTGCCTGGGGCAATCTTGAGGCTGGGGGAGCCCTCACCTGCGCTTGAAGCCTCCTGATGGGGGTTGCCCGTATGATCCTGGAGATAGTGCTCAGGGTTCACTTGACCATGACAAAGGAGCATCAGTCCGGCCAGAAGGAAGGGCAGGAGGTCGGCAAGATGCATCTTCTGAGCTCTCCCAACTATAGGAGGAAAGAGAGTACCCAGGCAATTCCCCGACAGAACACTCAACCCTACTGAGAAGTCGGGCAAGAGCAGTGATAAGTGACACCGGTGACACGGTGATAAGTGACACCGTGAACTTGTGCAGATGACCCTGCAAGCGGCTAGCAAACACCTGGCACTTTCCCAGAGTGTGGCAAAGATCATACTCTGCAGCAGTGCTTTAGATGAACAAAGCCTGCTCCTTATGACCACACCCCCTGCATTTCCCATCCTTCTCAGCTCTGCAAGGCACTCGCCCCTTTTCTCACCCCAGAGACTCCAAAAATGACTTCATCAGGTCACCTAACTGGTAAGTGTCTGAGCTAGAGCACAAAGTCTCCAGACTCAACCTGGAGCTCTTGTTACCATTCACGTTTATTCCTTCACCCCAGGGACCCACTGCAGCAAAACACCAAAAGTTATTTTAACTTCTACTCCACCAACACCCGTGGTGTGCTTTACAGTTTACAACATCATTTTAATGCCATTTTGTTTGACCCTCTTATCTCGGTAAAGGTCAGTAGAATGGGCATTCTTACCATTGCTCCATGCAGATAAGATCTCTGATGTTCAAAAACTGATCTGCCCAAAGTCCCAGGAAAAGGACTGGTCTCTTCTCCTAGTAAATTTCACCTGCCCAAAACAGGGTGCTCAATTTTCCACACCAAATCTGCCCTGCTGCCCTGGTTCTCAGCCCCAAACCCGGTTGTCATCCCTAACCTGTGTCTGGCTCTCCACCTCCCCACCTCATTCAATCTTTCTGTATGTCTGGCAGGGTTTCCCATGACCCCTGAGCCTCTCCACTGTTGTGACCCTCACTTAGGCCTCCAGCGTCATTCACCCAAACCAGGCGTCAGAAAATTTTCCTGCAAAGGGCCAGAGACTAAACGTCTTTGGCTCTGCGGGCCATACGGTCATGTTACAGCTGCCCAGCTCGGCTGTGTTGGCTGGGAAGAGGTCACCCAGAAGACATGCTTACGTGTGGCTGGGTTCTGGTGAAACTTTATTTATGGACAATAAAATGTGAATTTCATATGCTTTTCATGGGTCACAAAATATTGTCCTCCTTTTCATTTTTTCCTACCATTTGCAAATTTTGTATTTATGTTTATATCTTATATTTATGTTATATCTTGCATTCTTAGCTCAGGGGCAAGACAAAAACAGGCAGTGGGCCAGATTTGACCCACAAGCCACCGTTTGCTGAGCCCTGACTTAGACCGCTGTTTCTTCCTACCTAGTCTTTCTATTCTGTTTTCCACCCAGGAGTTGGAGTGACCACTTCACTCACCAACTTCACACCCGTCCCCAAAGCATGGCTTCCTACCAAGCTGTAATACCTTCTCCCGCCCTAACCTTCACATGTGTGTTTCTCTCTGGCTTTGCAGCAAGCTACCTAGAATTCCACTCTGCCAGGCACCCTCCAAAAGCACCTGGATCAGAAGCCAGAAGACCTGGGTCCTGAGTCCTGTGTGGCCTTGCATGAGGCTGTTTCTGGGCCTGGGCACCGGTTCCCCCACTGGTGCGATAAGAAGGTTGCGCAATCACGCGTAGGCGGTCTTTCCAGCCAGGAGGTGTCACCTCTGGGTCATTCCTGGTCTTAGCACTGGAATTTTTATGCTCCAGAAGTGATTATCACCCTCCCTTCCAAGTCTCAATTGTAGCCCTCAGAGCGTTACTCACGGTCAGTCCTGGTACGGCCCCCCAGGCAGCTGTCTGAGTGCTAGAGGAAGCTGAGGAACGTGGCCTGGCTTATGAAGCCCAGGAAGGTTGGCAGAACCTGTCAGCTCCACAAGCACCACCTGCCACCTCCCCTATTAGGTAATTATTAATGAACAGACCTATGGGTGCAGCATGGAGTCTCAACACAGAGAAACTCCCCTGAAAGCTGGCTCAACCTTCTCAGGAATGACCCCCCCTTCTCTCCAGGGAGACTCCAACAGAGTTCGCCCCTTGCTGTTTATGTCATGCACTGAGGTTTGCCTGGCACATCCTTCCCACTGAGGCCAGGGGGCCTGTTAGTGGATGTGGTCTCCCCATTGCCCGTCATTGGCCATGTGAACTCAGGCACATCTAATCCCTTCTCTGGGTTTGTCGGGCCTCCCATCCCATCCACCACCACCTCTTATAAAATGAAGAGGTGGACCAGACTAGGGGCAGCGAACCCCAGTGCCTTCACAAATCTGGTAAGGCTGCTTCCAGGGTGACATAATGAGGAATGGTGGGCACATGGAACTAGAGAGGGTTAGCTCTCTGCAACCATCAGGACCCATTAGGAGGGGCTGGATCCTGCCCTGGGCCTTCAGTTTGCAATCCTGGACTATGTGATTGCCCAGACACCTTCTAGCTCTAAAGGTACATGAGTCAGTGACAGAACCCTCTGAGATGCCACATTTTGGCCTTCAAGGACAATGCAACCCGGGGCAAGGGTGGCATGGGGTAGGAGCAAACCCCTCCATGGGCCAGGAACCCAACTGCACCCTTCCTTTTTAATTATGGATCTTGAAGCTGCTTTATGTACAGTGATCGGTGAACCTGGGCACCCTTGGACCATTCTGGGGCAGTTGAATATGGGGTCACACACAGCTGTTTCTTAAGCCTGATGGGGAAGGAAGAGATGTGGCCCTTGGTGTCCTGAATTAGATGCCCTTGGCATTCAGGTTTCCGTTAGTTGGCTCTTCTGAATGTGTCTCCAGGAGCTTGGGGCTTTGACTTCATTGGAATGTGTACCACTGAGCACCAAGATTGGGCTGGGATCCCGGAGCTGGGCAGAGCAGTGGCAGCGGCAGTACAAGCACAGACTTGGAGGCAGCTGGCCTGAGGTCTCCATCCCAGCCTGTAGTTGGGCTCCAAGAAGTTCAGGGGCCGCGTCCAAGTTTACACGACAGATATGTGTCAACACCAGGGCAAGAGAGGATCGTGCCATGCCAGGTAAGAGTGAAAACCCATTACCCACTTGCATCCTCCTCTGTTACCACACACATGCACACCACCCCAGGAGGACTGTCTTTATCCCGTTTTACAGATAAGAAAACAAAAGCCCAGAGAAGTTGCCAGCTCAGATTCCAGGGTTAGAGCAAAGCCCGTGTTCTTTCTCTGCTTGGAGAAATCTGCTGTTCTTCTCAAATAACAGCTCTGGTTTTGTTCTCAGCAGGAACCCACTTGCTAGAACACGTGTGGCACACAGTAGGGGCTCCAACAATAGTCACTGAGTAAAGGAGTGAAGGCAAGATGGCGATGGGTTCTTGGGCGTGAAAATCAATTATTCCCTTTCCGGAATCTGCAACTTGGGTTTTCCTTCCTTAGCCTGGCTTCTGCAGTGAGTTTCAGCTTGATGAAGCAGATGCCGGGCGGGGGGACAGTGTGTGCTTGGGACAGCTGGAAGGACAGGTGCCCTGAACCCAGTGTGAGCTCATGGCGACTGCCCTTTGGCTCCTGGACTCCGTCCCTGCAATGCTCTGGACGGAGCCGGGCTTTGAAGTCAGACAGACACGGCTCGGCTGAGCTGGTGAACCTGGGGCAAGTCACTCCACTCTCTGAGACCCACTTCCCTCTCCCTTCAAATCAGGAGCAACCACTAATCGGAAAGGCAGACGTGAGGGGACCGGCATCCCCAAATGTGCTGGGCTCCCCCTCCCGCTCAGTGGCTTTCGTTTCCTTCTTTCCTCCTGGATTCTTGCAGAGGAGAAGCACAGGGACTGCGGGCCCTCAGTCCTGGCCCCGCCACCAGCTGCGTTAACTTCCTCCGCTTCTCCTCTGTAAGCCGAGGGCAAAAATTGTTCCAAATCTCAGGCTTGTCATGAGAAGTCAATAAATTCGTGTCTGCAAAGTGCTTAGAGTAAGTGTTGGCAACAAGGGTGCCATGTAAGTGGGAGTTATCTGTCGTCTTACTTTAAACTGTTTGCACACTGTTCATTTATCCCTAAATGTGTAAATACGGCTAAATCCGTGTTTTTAACTTTTTTTGCATTGTGGTCCTGACAGTTCAAGAAAGCCCTGGACTCTCTCGCTAAAACATGCACATACTCTCAAATTTTACAATTTAGGGATTTTCTTGAATTGCACAAAGCCCATGGGTTCCCTGTGTGCTAGGAGCCATTTTCTCCCACAGGAAGCATCCCGGAAAAATGCAAGTATAAAAATGACCTTGAGATCCTTAAAGGAGTCACTGCCTGAGAGCCTGGAGGATAGGGACCGATAGCTGGCAGCACTGGTGGCAGGCCGGGCTTGGCCACTAGCTCAGAGCTCACTCCTGTCCAGCATCTGGCTGCTTCTTATCCTCAGGCCTCTGTGTGAGCATAAGGAGTGTGAAAACTTTGCAAGGTATATCCCGGAATGCCAGGAGTTTCTCATTCATTGTCTGTGAGGTCCAAGAGGGCCACAGATCATGTTACAGTCAGATTTGCATCTCTCTATCAGAATAGGACTGGCCTATAGAAGATGCCTCATAAAAGTCAGGGAATGAATGAGTGAAGGAATGAATGAATAGACAGCAGAAGCTCTGCTCAAAGCTTGGGTGGGGGTGCACATCTGAAAACAGCAATGATCTCAGCAAGTACCTTTTTAAATAGAAGAAAAGCTCCCTGACCTGGAAGTCCAAGGTGGAAGTGGAGAAGCATGGGGCTTGACCATTTATCTCTGCCCCCAGAAATGCTAGTGGATTTCACTGGTCCATGTGGTGCTACTGCAGGGGCAGGGTCGAGGTCCCCGAGGGGTAGCTGCTTTCCCAGCATCTGAACAGTGGCCTGAGCTGTCCCACAGTCAAGAGTCTCGCTCCCTTGGGACCCTCCCTCTGTCATTTTGCAGCTTGAGACCCAGTCCTTTGTGGATGTCCTGGTCTCCCAAACCATCACAGGTGTACAATGTAAGCTATGTAAGCTGTCCTTCCTCCTCACCACTCCCGACTCCTTTCTCATTCCCTGGACTCCAGCGGGAGCCAGGATCTTACCCTCAAAAGAGGCTGTCATTGTTTTTCAGTGGATGGTCAATGTAATAATGGTTGTTAGGAAAAATCGGGAACGTACGAAGTCTAAAGAAGAAAAGAAAATCATTTCTAAACCTGTCACAGTTAGATTTAACTTATCTACTTCCAGTCTTTTAAAAAAAATGGGTGTGTGCACATACAGAATATCAACAATGAGGCCCTTCCCATCTTGGTTTTGATGGAAGCACAAAGACAACTAGTGCTACAGTCCAGAGGACCCCCTACCGTGCAGAAATTTCTCAAAAAGGGGTCAAGGACTGGTCTCCTGATGCTTAAATCCTTTATTGGCATGAATGAAGATTTAGAAGTGAGGAGAAGGTGCAACCAGAAGAGGGATTACAAGGGAGGCCCTCTCCTCCACCCTGTTGACACCAGTGGGGTCACGGTCTCAAGGCCAGCTTGGTCCCATTCTGGTGAAGGCCCGCTTCCTGGTTGGCAGACAGCAGCTTCTTGCCATGGCCGCACATGATGAAAGACAAGGGGGCTCTCCAGAGCCTTACTTTTAAGGGCACTAATCCCATTCACAGGGGCTCCACCGTCCTGACCTAATCACCTCCCCAAAGCCTCACCTCCTGACATCATCATCTTTGGAAGCCAAAATTTCAACCTGTGAATTAGGGGAGGGCACAAACCTTTAGACCACAGAAAGGGCCGTCAGTAGGGGCAATCATAAACACAACGTGCACCCCTGTGGGTAAGGGGGGGCCCAGTGCGCTGGGGCCTGCTGCTTGTCTGAAACATCTTCCAGGTTCCGCTGGGCTGGTCCGACTTCTGGGGACTCACAACATCTACTTCCTGTTTCTCTCTGCCTCATCACTTCCTGCCTGGCTTTGAGCCAGGTAGATATGCATGCACCCACGTTATGTAGCTCCAGTAACAAACCACCCCAAATTTAGGGGCATAAAAGAACAGCAGGCATTCAAACCACCACATCTTATGTCCCTACTAGACTCTGGGCTTTTTGGAAACAGGGTCAGGATTTTATTCATTTTTCCCTCTGTGTCTGTCCTCTTCCCTCTAATGTTTGATGCTCAGCCCAGAACAAGCCCTGTGTGAGGGTCTTGTGTAGGGTGGTTTAACCATGTTATGCTCTCATGGGATCCTACAAGGTATACTTTCTCCTGCTAACTGGAAGAGCAAGTTAAGGCCAAGAGAGATTAAATATCTTGCTTGTGGTCACAATGCTGGTACACGGGAGAGCTGGGGTTGAGCCCAGGGATAAGTGATTCCAAAGCCCAAGATGATAGCCTCCACTTTTGACTCTTATTGATAGAAATGGGGTGATTAACCTTTGCATAGCGGTCAGCCAGTGCCCACAGTTTTCTTTAACTGGGCAATGCTGGGAACTGACAGACACAGGGAGACACCGTGTATGACCCTGACCTTGCTAATTCCTGAAGCCACACTCAAGGTCACAGGATGGAGACATCTCCCTGGTAAGACCACACAAGAGGCTGGGAAACTGAAGGATTCACTGTTTTTTGCCCAAGACTGACATTCCTCAAAATGTGGGCTGGGGTCCTCCATAAGTGGGTACTTGCTAAAAGCGAAGGACCACAGGCTTTCCCTCAAGTTTCTTGAATAAGAATCCTGGGGCCGGTGTAGAGTGGGTTCAGGAATTGCATTTTCATGAGTTCCCCAAATGAGTCCTGAAAAAAAAATCACCCAATACTGGAAGCAAGGACTCTGCGGGGCCTAGTCCCTGCGGTTTGACATTTCACCACGAGAGGG